CCCCGCGCAGGACACCTCCTGGCTCGCGCGTGCCCCGGGGTCCGTGGCCGATGGCCGGCTTGCCGAGCGACGCCTGCCCCGGCGGGGCCAGCCCGGTCCGGGAGGCCGTGCCGGCTCTACGAGGCCCTCCGGCGTGCTACCGAGCGAGCGGGGGGCCACCACGGGGCGTGTGACATGGCCGGGGACCGGGCCCTGGCCTGGCCACGCGAGGCCCCGCATCCTTGCTGCCAGGGCCCCGGGGGCGGGCGCGGCGCCGGCCTGCAGGGACGCGCCCGCCGCGCCGTGGTGACGGGCGCCGGCGGCTGTTGCACGCCGGGGACGCGTGTCCCGGGCAGGGTGTGCCTCGGGCGCCGGGCTGCCGACCGGGGGGGCGGGGACATCGGGCGGTCGATGGACCGAGGAGAGCTGCGGGGCCGGCTCGTCGCGGCCGTGGGGACGCCTCGCGGCGTGGGGCCTTCGGGCGCGTGCGCCCAGCGGGCAGCCTGCCTGTCAGCATGCTTGTCGGGGCTGGGGCGCTTGGCCGCGAGGGGCCGACGGGACCGGGGCCCGGATGGCGGCCGGTGGCATGGCGCGCGTGGGTCGGCCGCGTCGGCTCGTCCTCGGCCCCGCGCGGCGCAACGTGCCACGGCCGGGGGAGGGGGGCCGGCGGGCTGGCCCAAGCCGCAGGCGCCGGGCCGCGGCCGATGGTCGAGGGCATGTCCACGGAGGTGTACATGCGGAGAGGTGCATGTTTCGCAGGAGACTCGGTCGGGCACACCGGGGGGGGGGGGGGTTCTTTGCCCTATCAAGAAGGTCCGGCGGTTTTCGCGGGTCGCCCGGAGGGAAGCCGGGATCGACGGTCGGGCCTCCAGGACAGGTGCCCGGGGAAGGGGGAGCCGGCCGGTCGAACAACAGGCGGCCGGATTGGCCAGGCTACCGGGCCGGCCCGCGTGTGCGCCCGCCGGTGAGATCCCAGCAGCCAACTATGCCCCTTTTGCGGGGGGGGGGGGCGTTGCCGGCGGCGGGCGGTACCCCCCCGCCTAAGACGGCGACGCGGCGGTCCAAAACAAAGGCCGGAATAAATCCGAAAAAAAACCCCTGGCGTCGGGCAGCCGCGATCTGGCCACCGGCACTCGCGAGCATGCGCCCCGAGTGCGCAATGCCGCGGCGGCGCGTTCTCTGGAGCGCGCGCGTGTGCGGGAGATCCAGGCTTGGGGGGCCGGTGCGCCCGCCCATCCTGGCGCGGCGTTCCATCCCCCCCCGGCTTGTGTGTGTGTGTGTGTGTGTGTGCGCGGGAGAGGCGGGGCCGCAAAGGGAACTGGCGCCGGGCGGGGCGCGAGTGCCAATGCACCGGAGCGGATGGGCACCGAGCACATTGCTCTCCTTGATTGGGTGGGGGGTCGGGGCGGTAATTATTGCGCAGTCTGGCGGGCGGAGCGAGATGAGCATGGGAGGGGGGGGCCAGGGCACTCGGGCGCGGGCTCCGCCCCGGCGGCGCACGACGGTGCTGCGTCTTCGGTCGGAGCCGCCCCGGCCGGCTGGGCGGGTGTTTACCGAGGCAGCGCCGGACCCGGGCCCGCTGGGTATCCGCCCATGTGTTTATAGGGGCGTGGAACAGGGCGAATGCCCGTGTTGGCTGGGATGCCGCTTGTCTGAGGTGCCGGGCGCCGCTGATGAAACCTTTCCGGGGGCCTGCCGCAGAGCGAAGGCCCCCGGCCGGGGGCCATATTTGCGAGGTCCGCTGGAAGCGGGCACCCGTGTGTGTGCGCGCGCGCGCGCCCTCCGCGCCGCGCCGCGGGACAGTGGGCCGGTCGCGGGGACCCCCGGACGCGGCCGCGCTCTGGGGGACTTCCGCGCGCAGCGGCCCACCGGCAGGGGCGCCCCCCCCCCATGTTCGCCGGGTCATCGGTGGAATGAGGTCCCCGGGCCGGGGGAGCGGGATGCCCCCTTTGTGGACGGCCGTGTCCGAGGGCGTGGCCTTCGGCCGACCGCCCGCGTTGCGTGCATACATGCGTGCG